ACACCCCACACACAAAACAACACAGCTTACGCTAGGTAAGGTCTGAGTTGTGGGGGTCTGGTTCTATCTCCAGAACAGGGGAAAGATAGGTAGTTGGATAGTAGGTGGAATTGTATAACTACACAAGCCTTGATCCACATTCAGGAGTAAGAGATTCACAAAGCCAGACCTGACTCACACTCTACTTGAACGCCGTAACAACACCGACGATCTGCTTAAATAGTTGAGGCACCTATCAGAGGAATAGCTGATGTTGTCAAGTGTTGGAGCTTGTGGTTGAGGTGAAATAACACAACGTGTCCTCCCTGCCCTCTGAACCTTCGGCAGTGTTTTCCCTCAGGTCGTGTTACATTGTCCCGTGAGCTACGTGGATCTATTCTGCACACATTTTGGTCTTTCTCACAATATTGCCTGCAGGTCCACTGTACCTTTAAAAATCTCACCAGTACCGCTCACCCCGGCGCCCCCATGACACCCCAGGCTGTAGGAGCTGCAGGGAATTTTATCTGTTTAGCAATCTTTGTGACTTAATGTATTGTATTTCACAATAAGATGTTTGGCTAGGACCCACTCTGCCCTTAGTCACCCCTGGTAAACTATCAATTTTTTGGTTTTTTTGCTTCCAGGAATATTTCCCAATCTAAAAGGCTGGCTTAACGATCACTTGTGCCTACCAAAACGAGAATTTGTGCTCGCGTTAAAGAAAAATAAAAGTAGCAACAAAATCATTTTGTCAAATAAATAATAACGGATTGTGGTTATCATACTGGTATATGGTAATATATTGGGCAGGTGTGTCATCAAATATTATCCAAGTGCAATTTTTTGTCTTCTATATGAATCCCCGCAACTAGACGACCTCCTAAAAACAATCGGGTTGTAGTCATCAACAATCAAGCTTCTTTAAGGGAGTATATCATCTACATTCAGCAAGCAGTTTTATGCTAGTTCGGAACCCAAGCGTGGTGGGCGTTGTACTCCTATACCCTATAAGGGAAACTGATTTTAAATCTTTTTTGAAAAAATGGGTGTGAATGTATGCCATGGAGATAACTCTCTAACATGAAAAGTCGGAAGCCCTTATTTTTGATTCCCTTTTAAATACAATCCTCTGTGATCCGCCCGCATCATCGACCCAGCGCATGACTAGTTGGGTGTGGGACAACCACCATCAACAGTCTG